ATCGTGAAGTTTGCAGACAACACCATGGTGGTGGGCCTCACCAGAGACGACTACGACCAGGACTACAGAGAGGAGTTGGAGCAGCTGGTGGACTGGTGCAAAGATAACAGAATTATCCTGAACTGGGAGAAGACGAAGGATGAACTGATGAAAAAAATCTTTTCACATACTCTGTATCACATTGATAACACCAAACCAAAAATACTGCATATTTGCACCATATATATTAGTGCGCTGAGCTTCCATATCAATGCGTGCACCATGTTTTTTCTCCCACACTGTTTACACTAGATTACTGCTGCACTTTATGGAATGCAAATGTTCAATCAATGTCTGTAAAGCTGTACTAAAACAAAATTTGTTTTTGTATACACTTTGTGTACATAAAATGACACTAAAAGTTGTCTAAGTTTACATTTTATTTTTTTTCCAGAAATGTTGCCCTGTGGTGGTTGTCATCAAACACATCCTGCTGGTCTGCAGCTCCTTTACCCATGCCAGTGTGGCGGATTCTTTTATCTGTACAAACTATGCAGATCTCAGTTTAATATATCTCTGCCTCTGAGGAGAGGAACATATTAGTACATTATTTGTGTTTTCATTTTGTTTTGAGCACACATTTTTTCAATCAAATTGAGGTAATTTTGAGTGGGAAGTTTGATCGCCTAGAGCTTTAATAATATTTTTTTGCTGAATGTGCCGGCCAGGGGATAAACAGAAACTCGACAATGAGGTTCTAATGGATCCCCCCCCAAAAAATGATAGGTCTAATGAGAAAAAAAAAAGAAAGCAAATAAATGTATTGGTGGTTAAATGTGCCGGTAAATCCACCTCCACCACAGAATCCCTAATTTGTGCAAACCTCAAGAAAAGGTCAAAGCTTGACCTGAGCTAAAAATCTCAAAAAATGTATGTTGCTCTATAAAATGCTTTGAGTAGTGATGGTGAGATGAAGCCTCATGAGGCATTGAAATGTTTGGCCAAATTGCTTCAACGATCCCCACAGTTCATGAAGCTTCATGTGAATATTTCTCCACCTACTGGAGTGCATAATTACAGTTATTTTTTCCCCATTTAAGTTCTTTTGAAATTGTTAATGATTGTAGTGTATAATAAAATCTTTTGTAAGATTCTTTTTAGTGTAAAATGTCTTAGTAAAAAAAATTATTTTAGGTACACTATTTTTCTGCAATTTTAGTGAAATAAGCTCAAGCAGACAGTGAAAGTGTGCAAATTGGGCAAAGATGAGCAAAATGAAAGGTTTTAGTCATTTTTCTTCAAACATCATAGTTTTTTCACAGTTTTTGGTTTTAATCAGGTTGGAAGTGATGTGTTCAACCAATCTTTTGGCAAACCAACCAATCTAATGTGGCAGTGTTTTTACCCAATCTATATTTGTATAAGGGCAAACCAATACAAATTAGTTACATTAGCCAAAATACTTGTTAAGTATAATCGCGACTTTCAAAAGTCAACCTCAGGAGTGGAAGTCAATGTCTTAGGGCTGACACCACGAGCAATTGTTAATGCCCAGCAGAAAGCAATACTACTTAACATTACTAATATTACAACTGTAACCAGTGGCTTTTTCAGATTTTAGATTTGTCATTACATTGTTTAATCTGACTAAATCAGTTTTAACAACTAAATTGTTGTTTCTCCAATCAATCTATTCTTAAAATCTATCCAGACTCTATCCAACTGATAGCTACCCTGCTCCAAACGCCCACATCTTGACTGAGTAGTGAGGCTGTTTAAATACCTGTTGAAGTTCTCACGCGGTCTGATCCACTTCCTTAAGCGGTCACGTGGTATCACGGTAGAGAGGTTTCAGACGTCATCAATTATGGCCCCTCCCCCAAATAAATCAGGCCTCGACACGTGCCTTGGGGAAACGCCCCTCCACTACCGGACACATGCCTCGAAGCCTCGGCTCGTGTCATAACATCACTAGCTTTGAGTCATCATTGAATTTCATTTTCAAATAGAAATCCTTTAAGGTGTTTCATTTAGAACTGGATCCCTCCTTGTACAGGCTAGTTTAGATGTTTGATAAGAGATGATAGAGGTAGTTTAACTTTCTAATAACAGCTCAATATGAATGCTAGTTTTCCAACCCAGAAAGAGAGCAGTATTATTGAGGATTATTCAGAGATGCATTAATTAAGCAAAATATAGCTTTATAACATAGTTAAAATCTGTTTATTTTGCATAGAAATATAAAGTAACTGTTGGGTGTTATTTAAACATAACAAATATGCTTTTGTAGATGTTTATCAGGCGCTTTAAGAATGTTTTTGACGTGAAAGATGGAAATGTGGATTTGAAATCATTCACTGGAGACAACAAGCTGCACATCATGCATGATCTCATGGATTTCAGCACACATTTCTTCCCTGGAGAAACGTTTCCTTGATATTTCCTGGTGCAGGAGTGCAAAGATTATATGCCTAGATCCCTGACCCTTTCAGTCCAAAAACTACCTGCTGACCTCAGCACCTCAGAGGAGGAACGACTCATTGATTTCAGCTAGGATTCAACAGGGAGTCTGCTTTTAAAGTCAAAGACATTGGCTGCATTTAGGTTTGGGGTGGAAAGAAATTACCCATTGTTGAGTAAGAGTTAGTCTGTGGCCTTAACACAAAACACGTATGCAACAAATACTACTGTCCTGCAATTTAGCTTTTCCTTAAAAAAAAACCCCACTAGAGGTTTCACCAACATGAAGTAATGGATAATTTGTTTCAGCCTAAGTATCGTTATTAGGTAGCAGTTAGCCTGTTTTGGTATTTTCCCATTTTGTTTAAGTCTTGCATATCTTTTGATACAGTAAAATCAAATCGTGGGGTATTGTTTATTACTTTTAAAACAGTTGTTCAAACAAAGAGTCTTAATCAGCTGAGTCCATCAAAGTAGCAGGACAGAACTAGAAATACTTCCTATTAAGAGTCCCAAACACCTGGCACAGGTTCGGGAAGGCCTATGCCAGGGTGCTGGAGTGGAAAGTCCAGATGATGGTCGGACCTCTACTTCAGGAGGAACAGTGCGATTTTCATTAATGCCCTGGAACAGTGGACCAGGACTCCGTTTCATGAAGCATGTTTAACAAAGTCAGATTCAAATCCTAAACTCTAAATTGATTTAGCCTAATGTCAGGAGCTCTTGAGTTTTCGGTTTCACGACGGCTGCTATGAATATGTTTAATCAACTCCAAGTAGAGCCACTCAGAGTTTAACACGTGCGTAACAAGTAAGAAAAGCCATTATCAGTAGAGCACCAAATCTAAGAGTCACCATGATAACAGGCAAGAGGAAGTGCCTATTTCACCCCACTGGAACTAGAGATTTTAATGCAGAAATGAAGAAAAAAAAATGAGAATGTGTTCAAAAGAATGACAAACAGCTCTACAACTGCAAAGGAGAGGAAGGAGAAGATTGCATCTTAAGTTAATGTGTAATGCACTCTTCTCTCTATTGTTCTATTTTTAGTTCACTAAAATAAGTTTTCCTGATAAAAATCCCAATCCTAGACTGAACTTTAATTATATATTTTCTAAATTACATTTTTGTAGTAGGAGCTGAATTATAGAAATAAAAAAATTATACTAGTAAGAATTAAGTTTTATATGTCTAGAAATATTTAAACCTTTTAAGTGGCCGCTCTGACATTTATCGCTCATATCATCGCTCATATTAAACAAACCAAAAACAAGTAATCTCCTGCCCTGTTAACTGAGTTGTAGAATCTCTCCCTATAAATATTAAATTCTCTGTGAAAAAGTGACGATCATTCTTTATTAAGATCCTCGTCAAACAGACACACAATGTTTGCTTTTAGGACCTAATGCTTGTATCGGACCTTGTGAATGAGATATTTTCTTATGCACAAAACTACAACAAAAAAAACGTCCTAAATCAGGAAATAAAATGTGATTGGCTGTAAGGAGAGCGGAAACAGAGGATACTCCGAATTTACTGAAGAAAACCTGCTACCGACCAGGTTAGCTCTGGGGAGAATGTTACTACAGTAACTGAAACAGAGGTTGAGGAAGCTCTCTTTGTGAACAAGATAAGTAAGATTTGGCCTGTTTTCAAGTTTATACAACGTAGAGTTTTCAGTAAACCTGCTTCTTGAAATGGACCCCAGCTCTATACCCTATGCAGGATGCAAGGGTTTTGTTGACGTGAAGAAAGGACTTGACCGTGTCCTTCCTGTTGCCCTGCGGGGGACGGTACAGGTGTATAGAGTCAGAGGGGCCATCTTTACTAGGGGCCATCCAGTCTGTGTACAAGGAGCAGAGCAGGAGTTTGGTCAAAGTTGCCAGAAGGAGGCCCAGCGGATAACCTGGAACACGATAGAGGGACAATGTCTCTCATCTGACCTAGGAGCACCTCTGGATACCTCCAGCAGAGCTGGAGAGGGTGTCTGTCCAGAGGGAAGTCTGGGAGACTCTGCTAAGACTGCTGCCCCCACAACCCAGTCCCGGTTGAAGCGGAAAATATAAAGTAGGAGTACAAGTTGCAAAGATTTAAAAGTTCTTACCTTTAAAACTCCAGGCCTAGTTTCTTCGCCAGACATCAGAGCATCACTTCTAAAGTATTTTGATGTTGTAAGACAGTGCGATCTTGTTGCATCCCCTTCTTACAGTATGTCACATGATCCGGTCTCACATAAACATCCTATTAGCCGATTGGAAATCATTTCCTAATATCCTGATTTAATGGATTAAAACTTAAGAATACTATCAGGGTGTTATCCGAGATAATATTTTTTGGACAAGTGATGAATTCAGTGGCAGGAAAGAGTTAGAACTTTCACTGGAGCTTGAGTAAAGCATAGCTGCCTTTTACCTGAAAGACTTCGATCTGTTTAATCCATCTAGATCCCAGTGTTTAAATCATTTTTTCCTGTAGAGCATTTGATTGATTGAATATGAGAGTAAGAGCAGTGTTTTATATAGAAAGTAGAAAAGTGAATGTGTTTTTGCTCCCTTCTTTCAGAACATCAGAGTGCTTTTCAACATCCGAGTGGTGGGAGGATCTACGTTTTACAACTACCTTTCACCTCAGGACGGTCGACCGCTCTATCATCCCGCCGTCGACAGGTGAGGGTGTGAAAATACATCTCACGTCATGATTACTGATATCCCCTTTAAAGCCTCATACAGTCCTTTGAGAAAACCCAGGCATGCCTCTGCTTTTTGTCCACTGAGTTTCTCATTATCTGCCAGAGCGGATCTGAGCAACGTGTGATTTTCAGCTCTTAATCATTGGGTGTTGATTACATTTCCTGCTAAATCCATGCAGTAACATGCCCTCATTCCCTTGCTCCCTTGATTTCACAAAACATAAATTGTGATGTAGTCTTGTAATCTTTGCTTTCTTTAACGTTTCTATCCACTACACTGCATAGACAGTGTGCTCTCAATTCATAGAAATATCACTAGTTTGTTTTAAAGGAAGGTTTAAAGGTTTTGCTTGTATTTTAAATGCTGAAACTACATTTTGCATTATGGGACATTAAGACCAGGCTTTTAAACATTGGCTTCAAATAATCTGTTCATATATAGTGTTTCTAACCTCTCTGGAAGATTCATGGTCTTTTAAACTATCGCCACTCTTCCTGTGGCACATCAAGCAATTTGATCTGATCATCCCACTCTAGAATTTTCCATTTAATGCTGCAAAATTACAAAAGTACTTTAAGATTCAAAGGAGGCAAATCTTACAAGGGGATGTGTGGCAACACCATATAAGTATTTTTACTTTGCCTAAAGTAGAGATCCTCTGATTCAGTGTTATCTTATTGGTCTCTATATTAAAGAGAATTCTTGATCGGCTATAAAAAGCAGACTGTGATGCACAGGTAGGAGTTTCAAATCTCTGTAGAGAGTTTGGTTGGAGCAATAAAAAAAGATAGCCCTTCATACTCCAGTTGTGTTTTAATTAATTGAATTTATAGTTCATCCTTGATTCTAGAACAGATAGACAAACATATATAGGTGGCTAAACCGTACACAATGAAATGATAACTATTACCCCACCTGCACTCTTAGAGTACATTCACAAAGCATGCTAAAGTGCCCCAAATCCGTTTTTTTTTTTTTTTTTTGCTCATATGCTACCTGTATCCGATCTTTTCATGGCAGTCTTAACAACACAGATCTGATTTTTTCCAATGCGACCCAGACCACTTAGCTATGTGGTTCTGAATATGCTACATATCTTATCTTTTCAAGTCCGTCCTCTGTCTAAACAGCCAGGTCGCATTTATCCAACCTGGACGTCATTAATACTCAACAAAGGTCACAATTCTGTGTCTTGCTACGCAGAAACGGGAAGAAAAACAACAATTTTATGTCTGCTTCTGTCTCCTTGAACCCCAGTCGGCCTCGGCAGATGGCCACTCACGCTGAGCCTGGTTCTGCTGGAGGTTTCTTCCTGTTAAAAGGGAGTTTTTCCTCTCAACTTTCGCTACAAGCATGCTTGGTGTGAGGGATTGCTGAAAAGACAATAAGTCGATGCAATTAGCTGGTTTTCCGTAGATAGAAGCTTTTAATCATTTTGACTGTATGATCTGGTTGAACTGTAAAGTGCCTTGAGATGACATTTATATATATATATATATACTGAATTTAACTGAACAATCATGGTGGACGATAATGCGGCAAGCAATCTTTATTTTCAACCCCTTGAAAAGATCTGAATTTGTGAGGAGGTTGAGGTTGGGAAGATAATGAAAGCTTGCTAGATGCGTTCCAGCACTCCCATCCATGTTTACTTCCGTAAACACAGCGCACGCTCGCTTGTGACATCATTGCGTCCTCTACTGCCCATGTGGGACACTTAAGTTGTGTGAAACGGTTTTCACCAAAAAAAATGGAATTAAGCATTAATACCTGTAGTGTGAACGTAGCCTTAATGACTGTGATAATAATAATGATTCTAAATCCACTACAAAAAACTGCATTCATAGTTTGCATTACACGTGCGCATGAATCAAACATCAATAAGAACTTAAAATGGGCTTCTTTTTCAACATTACTTACTTGTATTTATTGCATACAAATCCCACTGAAGTAGCAAATTAAACTGAAAACTGCAACTAATACTACTACTCAGGACTACAAACCTCTGTGCTTTTCCCTTTATCTGACTCTCTTCTCCCTCCGCATGCTGCTTTACTGAGTATAGGCTCCAACCTTTAAAGATCTGGCATATCAGTGTTGTACACAGCCTTTTCTACATTTGGTATTCAATAAACAACATCATTCTGAACCCTTAGAGCTGCATTGTTAACTTCAAGATGGAATCAAATCAAGCAGAGCTCTGGGATTTGAAAATATCCGGATATGCAAATATCCAAATGACATTATCGGGATCAGGTCGGCAGTGAAAATGTGTGGATCATTGCATCCCTACCCAAAGGACGGTCCTGTGTTTGAATCTCAGCAAGGGCCTTTTTACATTAAATTACCGTGTTCCTTCTGTGCATTTTCTGTGCATTGGTTCTTTCTGCGACAGATAGGCAAACCATTAGGCCTTTGGCTTAGTGACTAAAGATAAACACCAACTTCTGCCCATGATTTAAATCGAAAGTAGTGTGATCTGGAAAGAGAATTTCATTTTGTATTTGAAAAGTTGCCCTTCCCAAATGATGTGGGTGTTTCCCTTAAACCCATTAGAACACGCTGATTATACTGAACAAGCATGGCATTAGGACCACTGACAGATAAAGTGAATAGCACTGATGGGTGGGATAAGTGAGACAGCAAATAAACATTATATCCTAAAAGGAGAGGGAGCTACAGGGTGGTCCTGGTCCACTGTCGGAGAGCTAAAAGGCAGAATGTGAGCTTTAGAACTGGACCACATAGGCCTAGCCTGATGAATCACTTGTTTTTTAATTAGCAGGATGGCCAGGTGTGTGTATAGCTTAACTGGGGAACATATGGCATCAGGATGCATTATGGGAAGAAGCCAAGCCGTTGTATTGTGAAGCCCCTGGGCAATGCTCTGCCATCCATTTTCTGCTGTCACCTATTGTTACCCTGAAGCCCCTACCCTTATCAATGTTACAGTGTAGCCTTTCATTGAAACTACATTGCTCATTCGGTGCCCTCATCAGACCAAATATGGTTCAAATGGATTAAAAACCACAACAACAAGTTTTAGAGCTTTACTTGCCCTCCAGATTACCTTGCTCCAATCCAGCCTCCCACTTCTACTGCTGACATCTGGGTGCCAAATACCAAGACACTCAATGGTCTGTTAGAGTCCAGGTCCTAATGGGTCAGGGGAAAACCAACACATTTTTTGGCAGATCCTCAGAAGGGGATGGCTAAACAGTAAATCTTCCAGAAAAGTTAAAAACTTTCTAAATTCTGCAGTAATAGTCAAAAAGCTTTACATTACTACACAACCTAAGCCACTTGTAATAATAATGTTTCCACAGCCAATAGTGACTTGTCTGCAGATGCAAACAGAGCTGTTAGGAGTAAAACCTCATTTAGTGACTCAGTTTGTCGACCACATTGTTTTTTTAGCCGGCTAATTATTATATTGTTTATTATTCCCTGCGATTAAGTGACCAAACATTTTAAACTAATTACAAGTAATTATTCTAAAGTGCAATTAGAATAAGCTCTGATCTCATTTTATAAAGTCTCTTGTTGCAATTCGTTCTCAATATCTTCAAAAAGTTAAATGTGAATATATCTGCAACCCTAGTTTGAGTGTTTGTGTCTCTCTTCCAGTGTGAAATATCTTGCGGAATCATCTAATTTATGAAGACATGCCATCTTTCTTCACAAATGCAAATCTGGTGGCTTGCAGTGGCACAAGAGATTTTTCTGATTTTGTAGATGTCTCTTGAATAAAGTGTTCATTCACTCGTTGAATGGTGCTGATGGGAGCAAATGCTTTCAAAATCGTTTGAAATGCAAATGTGTTGCACGCTGCATCCTTGAAACTTGTGTAATGACAGAGTCAGAGTTCTTGTGCTTCAGAAATAGACTCTATCCCTGAGTAAACCCCAACAATGTGATCAGAGCGGATACTGTTTAACTTAACCAAGAATACCTGCCAGTCAGGTCCAGGTATAAGGGTGAAAATTCACACCTTCAGCTGGTCTGAGTTGCTCTTATTTGGAAATTTTTAGAACACGACAAACAGTGTAATTGAGTTGCAAAAATAATGCAAAGCACAAGGAAGGAAATCTATCTCATGGGGAATCTCTTTGTGTTGAAGCTGTGCATCTGCTCTTCTTCATAAAGCCACCATAGTTATATTTAAAATATTTCAACTTTAGATTCAAGTTCTTAATTCCTTTTATCTTCTTATTCTACTACTTAAATATTCTTGCATCTGGTCACGCTTTCTTGCTTTCAGAATGCTAAGAGTTTACACTGCAAGTTAGCCGATTTAGACCATCCATGCAAAGACCGGTGGTTGAAACTTAGGCTACGTTCACACTGCAGGCCTTGATGCTCAATTCCGATTTTTTTTTGCGAAATCCGATTTTTTTACGTTGCCGTTCATATTACCAAATATATGCGACTTGTATGTGATCTCCTGTGTGAACTGCAGTCATACAACGCAAGTGTCCCGCATGCGCAGTAGAGGGAGCGATGACGTCACAGGCCAGCATGCTCTTTTTTCCGAAAGTAAACATGGATGGTAGTGTCGGTGCGCATCTAGCGGTCTTTTCCAACCATTAAAACACAATCTTTTCAATATGGTGAACCATAAATACTGCTCTCCGCATCATCATCTGCCATGGTTTTTTGGTTTTCTTTCTCGCTACTGCGTAGCAAGACGCATAATAGTGTCCTTTGTCGAGTATTAATGACATTCAGTTCGGATGAATCCGACCAGGCCGTTCACACACAGGTCGCATTTGAAAAGATCAGATTCGTATCGGATTCAGGACCACATAGCCAAGTGGCCTGGGTCGCATTGGAAAAAATCGGATCTGTGTTACTCAGACTGTTATTATAAGATCAGATCCAGGTCGCATGTGGGCAAAAAAAATCGGATTTGGGTCACTTAATCAGGTTGTATTAGAACCAGGATGGATTCTCACTGCTCTGTTCTGATCCAGCCC